AAGATAAACTTTATAACAAACCTAAGTAACAAACAACTTGAATATATTTAAAATTCTGCCGTAACTTTTGTGAATCTATATATACGGTAACGGTAAACTTCAACAACCCATAAGTAGCAATAGTCAGTGAATTCACATAAGACACCCAAAACGACTTCGAATGTGATTGTTGGCATGGCCATTAGCCATAAAAATGACAGAAATAAAGCCCCGGACGTCAAGCGAGGCCATCAGAATTGACGGGAGTTGGCAGTCACGCGTTGCCACAGGGGCATTTTAAGCTCTAGATGAACAAAACAAAAGTTTGACTGAATTTTCTATAACAGTTTATTTAACAGAATATGTGATAGTGTTGGGAAACATTAAGTCTGAAGAACAGCTGTAGTATTGGCCTGTCAAATGACATACTGATTGTTTATAGTTCTGCTCATTGTTTAGGCCGGGTTATTGGCAAACCTCTAGGAAATTCAAGTGGAGCGGTGTCTTTTCAGCTGATAGTGTCAGACGAACAGTATTCGACTGATGCCTCCCAGACACTGATAGCATTTTTATCAATAGCAACGATCTATATAGATGACTGAAGAGTTCAGAAACGCTCACAGCGCACTGTCTATAATATACCCTACCTATAGTCATATGATGTTGCCCTAAAATTAGCTGGTATTCAATCCCTCGACTTTTGTAGAGCCTGGAGATGCCCAATCAAACATGACAATCATATATAAAATTACTAGAAACCTACTAGAAACCTAATTCGGCTTTTTACTTAGAGATTTGTGGAGAAAATCCAACCTATCTATATCCGGACAGCACCATTGAATCATAACTATATAATCTTAGATCCAGGAAAATATAAATACAAACTGATCAGTTCGACCTTGGGAAATATGTTTAATATGATAAATTTGAAAAATTAGTTGTGTTGGCTGGTAGTAATTAAGTTAATGTAATAAGCATATTTTAATATTCAGTATTATGTACATGCACTGTAAATCTTGCAGTTCGTTTTTTACCAACATCAAAATGCAGTCTACAAAGTTTTTGAAATATGTCTGCAGGTAAACGATTTACAGATATCCACACGGAGATCGAACACCGAGACGTTTGTGAGCGGTAGGTTTGAGAGAAACAAAGATTCTGGCCATTTCGTTTAATTAATGAATAATGATATTTGACCATGCACCGCTGCATCTCAGGAAAGAGCGTTCTTGAGTGCGCAGTGGTGGATGACATGCATAAGTTTGGTCATGCTAACAAACTCTTGTATTCAAACTTGTAATTTCAATTTCAATACATGAGCTTTGTACCATGACCAAAATTATGCATGTTATTCACTATAGGGCACGCAAGAATGCTATTTACTTGCTTTCATGCAGAGAATCAGACTCAGAAGACACATACCATTGGGATACTGTTTGTCTTGTGAAGATTAATTTCCAGAAACGCGTCAGTTGAGACTCAAGACTGAATTCTCTACACGGGCAGCTTAGGTATGTTTCTAGTGCAATGTCAATTATCTTTTTAGTTGCTAGAGTTCCAAGCCTCGGTCATACGAGGACGAGAGTTGATCCTCACGCATTGTTACGCCCAACATCTCAAGCTCTGGATTGTAATAGTAAAGCTTGATAAGTGTTTCAACTATGTTCTAACTTAAATAGAATCCATGATAAGCCTGGTTCACACGAGTCAGATATTTGCACAGGTATGCGAAAAGCTAAAGCAAGAAATGCAGTGAAGCATGCGACATATATATACCTTCAACCTAAACGTTGGTTTTCATTATTGTCGCCGAATAGTGTTTTCATTTGTTCTTCATATATATATATATATATATATATATATATATATATATATATATATATATATATATATATATATATATATATATATATATATATATATATATATATATATATTAAGGTGAAAATGTTCTCGAGTGTGTATTATATAATTTCTATACCCAGCGTAAGCAGAAAGATAAAGTCTGCCGCGGCTGGGTCTCGAACCCGCGACCTTAGAATTACTAGATCGACGCTCTACCAACTGAGCTACACAGTCAGACGGAGACCAGAAAACTGGTCCTTAACCAACTTTTTGTTAAATCCTCGCTTTATTACATGACCTTCCATTTCTTTAAGCCTATCCTGAAAAACTTTTTCCGAACTACAAATCCGTTTTAATCTTAGCGCCTGACCATAGGGGATTGCCTTCTTCACATGTGCAGGATGACAAGACTTGAAGTCTAAGTATTGATGTGTATCAGTCGGTTTTGAATACACATCCGTTTGCAATTTACCAGACTTAGATAATGTAATTAAAAAATTATTACATAGATAATGTAATTAAAAAATTAGCGATCGGCGTTAGTCTTCTACGTAGAAATAGAAAAGCCTTGAAAAAGTGCGATCTTATGAATGTATATAGAGCTATTGTAGAACCTTATTTTGATTATTGTTGTATAATTTGGGATGGCATCAGTGACTATTTGGCGTTAAAGCTTCAAAAACTTCAAAATCGTGCAGCACGTATTATTACTGGAGCCGACTATTCGCGAAGGTCCAGTGATATATTAAACGAATTAGGATGGGAAAAGTTGAGTGAACGAAGACAAAAATGCAAAGCAGTGATGATGCATAAAATATTAAACCATAAAGCACCGTCATGTTTCTTAGGTTTATTTATACCAGAAACTGGTGCCAATTTTTATGATCTTCGTTCTTCAACAGAGAATGTCGAACTTCCACTAATTCGAACTGAATATTACAAGAGAAGTTTTTTTTACTCCAGCGCAAAAGTGTGGAACTCTCTTCCTGAAGTTTTCAAAATAAAGCGGTTCAAAGATCTTTTAAAAAATATCCATTTTCCCGCTGATCATTAATTAATTAAATTAATATATATTGCAAACTATAATATACGGCTTACAGGTAGAACAAAACTGTATATGATTTTGATGTAACCACCGTATTGAAATAAAATTTTTAATAATAATAATAATAATAATAATATATATATATGTATATTTATATATATATATATATATATATATATATATATATATATATATATATATATATATATATATATATATATATATATATATATATAGCTTAAGATTTTAGTTTACGAAACACAAACAGTGCTCAATACCATATAGGTAAAACGAAAAATATATATATATATATATATATATATATATATATATATATATATATATATATATATATATATATATATTTTAGAACGTTTAATTGAATCAATAATTACAGTAGCAGAAACTGAATTTACCATTGATTTTACAAAAATAAAGATTTCATATATTTACACAGAATATATTATACAACAATTATTGTAACTTATAAATTGTCCAAAATCTAAAGCAATATATTTTATTAACTATATTTACGAATTTAATTAATCTAAAACTTGTATTCAATCAAGTTGCCTTACAATGTTGTAGTATTGTCCTGTGCAATTATATGCCTTGGTCATGGTTTTTATGTAGTGTTTAATAAACGAGCAGGAGTGTTTTTATTATTAGGTTTATTGTTTTATTACCTATTAAAGCTTGAGTGGTGCTCTGCTTAGGAACGATAATTTAGTCTTCTTCCTGTAAATTGTATTTATTCCCTTCCAGCTATAACAATGCTCGCACTCAAGCTGTCGTTTCTCCTTCTTGTGTTGGCTTCAGCAAATGTTGTCACAGCATGGCTTTTACTAGGTAATGATGCAATGATAAACATTGTGGTCCGTAGATGTGCCTTCCACTTCTGTGACCAACAGACGATTCCTACAGTTGTCTCTACCAAACATTGCAAATTTTCTTTTGGCACTTCGGTTTTCTCGCCTGTATTAATAATACTGGATCAGTATATGAGAATGTCTTTTAATACTGGTCTTCTTGAAGAACAGTTTTATTTAGAACTGATAGAGTTAATAGTATAGTTTAGGTTTTCGCCTGTGGTGACACTTATAGGATCAATAAGGGATGACGCTCACTGGACCTCTAGGGAGAACAATTTAGAAGTGATTTAATTTAATTTTTTAATTTATTATATATTGCTTTGCCGGGATAAACTAAAGAGGGCCCCCTATACCTCTTCACAATATGCTTTCACGTAAAAATATTTTGCCTTTTCACGAGTCACGGATTAAGAAAATCATCGATCATGCACGTTTCACGGCTAAGTAAAATAAGCCCTTCACGCTTCACGCAAAACGTATAGGGGGCCCGATCACGTTTCACGGCGAAGTAAAATAAGCCCTTCACGCTTCACGCAAAAAGTATAGGGGGCCCTCACTAAACAGACAGACAGACGTATAAAGTACAAGTGGCAGGGTTACCACAACATAATTACTTCCAATTACTGCGGGCCCAGTAAATCTATCAAGTATAGATAGAGAATAATCATCAAAATCATTAAAGAATAATTATCAAACTTTGCCTTCCTATAGGTCCATGTGACAGTGATCCGTGTAAAAATGGCGGGAAATGTACAGTGGTTCTCTTAAGTTACAGGTGCGCATGCGTTGATGGTTGGAAAGGAAAGAGATGTACCATCAAAGGTATACCTTACATTCGCTGCTTCTTTGCCATGTTTACTTTTAGCATCACTAGTTTATACCAAGAAGCCCTGGAAACGAGGATGGCTATAGATAGCTAGGATCTCAGGACATGAAATGGGATAACATTTTGTACATACATCCCATTTCTGCAGCAAACTGAAAGTTACTTCGAAATTAGAGTATTCCACTAGCTCTGTTAAATTAATCTAGTGTGAGCTGATATCACATTGAGTTACGTCAATAAATCTACCTTTAGCAAGACACTTCTATGATGTAAGCAAGGAGAGCTATGATGTAAGCAAGGAGAGCATTTTTGTCACGCGAAGAAAAACCCAACCCTCCATAAATCTCAACTCTGTTTCCCAAGCAAAACATACCTTATCACTTAGCGTCTCAACATTAATCACACTCACCATATTCATCGTAAAATTCTCCAGATTCGGGTATTTCTCTCCTTATAGTAAAACCATGTGAATCGTCTCCTTGCAAAAATGGAGCTACCTGTACGGACAAAGATGATACTTTTGAATGTGCTTGCAAAGATGGCTATCTCGGTGAAACATGCTCTGAGAGAAGTATGTTGTTTTTGTTCATTTGGTCGAGAGAAATTTAGGATTTCACTTATATTGACCTCTAGGGAGAACAGTTTAGGACTGATGTAGCTATTCAGCTAGTTTAATATAAGGCTCTACTCAGTGTAGCTACACCGGTTCAAAAATGAGATTTGGGGAGAACTATTTAGAAAAGATAGAGATATCATGTAGATATCTAATGCCTACATACCTATATACATATACTATTCTGTGCTTGCATAAACTGGAACACTGGAACTAGCTATAGCTAGGTATGTGAGCAGAGGCGTAACTAGAGCGTTAATTGGGGGGGGGGGGTGTATATTTTCTGCCCGACGAATTTCTTTTAAATTTCTTTGTTTTTAAGTTCATTTAAAAAGAAATTAGTCGGGCAGAACACGAATATATGAATAAACACCCCCCAATTAACGCTCTAGTTACGCCTCTGTATGTGAGTTATACTAATGTACTGTTTAATAAACGAGCAGGAGTGTTTTATTAGGTTTAAAGCCACGAGCGCACAGCGCGAGTTGTTTTATTAGGTTTAAAGCCACGAGCGCACAGCGCGAGTTGTTTTATTAGGTTTAAAGCCACGAGCGCACAGCGCGAGTGGCTTTATAGACCTAATAAAACACGACCTGCCAGTTTATTAAACGGCTTCAAACACGACTACAAATAACAAATTCAACAGATATACTGCCTTATTAGTATTCTTTATTCTTTTTTCCAAAAATTGCTGGCGAGCGAGTGGAAGGTGAAAATTTTTTTTTCGGAATCAAACATTTTTGCAGAACAAAGAGAAATAGGGTCAAAAACATTTTTTTCGGACTAAGATCAATTCAATTAGGTTTAAAACACATTTTCCCCGAAAAAACTTCTTAAAACACGATGAAAAAGCTTATTTTCGAAATTTCAGGGAACACCCTTACACTGTACCTCCAATAGGTCCTGTAATTTTCCTTAATGAAAAGTCTCTGCATGAATTTTTTTTTCATACATTTCTGGTGCACGAATTTTTTTCTTTCTATTTTCCCTGCTCGAATTTTATTTTTGTTCCCCCATCACTTTTCTAATGGTCCGCCCCTTAGGAGTGTTTTATCAGGTTTAAAGCCACTGCACGTGACATATTATGATTGACATGATTTGCCAATAAGCTTATGAATTATTAATGAGTGTTTGAAGTTTTTATTGAGTATAAACAAACGTTACCGAATTGTCTGTTAGTAGTGATAGACCCCACTATGGAGTACAAAGGATGCCGACAACGATGTCACTTACTCACTTTGCTCAGCTAAAATAATAGTGAGTTTGAGCAAAAATCTCTAAATTCTTTTTTCTGACAGTTAAGGTTTGATTTTTACCGAGCATTTTAACCTCAATTTTGTCTATAACACATTTTTGAGAGCGCTCCAAAATAATGCTGATTTCAGCATTTTTGATCTTTTCAAATGGAATTAATCGTTTGAATTCAAATATTGGCGGAATAACATGCAAAACATATAAAATACCCAGTTTTGTGACTCTTGTTTTAAATTTTTCTGGTTTCAAGTGTAATCCAAGAATTTTGCCGCTCGTATTCGAGATTGACTTGTGGGCAAGTCTAGGTGTTTATCTGAGATTTCAATTACCCCACCACGTTCCCAAATGTCATCCTCGATGCACCCTCTAGTGTTATTTATAATCTCTATGGATCACATAGCATCGACTCTAGCGGCGGAAGTAATTAGTATACTAGAAAATACATGCATGCAGAAACCCTCGCCTTGCTGACAAAACCATTGTATTTTCCGAACATGAAGTATCTAAAGTTGTTGTCATGGTAACACGATAATTTTTTAAGAATATTCCAGTAGACTTTCATCCAGCTCGATCATTTCCGAAAATTAAGGCTATGTCTTAATTTTTAAAATGCGTTCATTGCCTTAATTTTAAACATAACCCCCACCACAACCCTAACTTCTAACCCCTAACCCCCCTAACCGCTAACCCGAATCCTAATCTAATCTTAGTCTAACCCTAATCCAAACCTGGCGACCTTTTTTTTTTTTAAAACAGCGTTCAAATTAAGACATTGCCATAATTTTAAACATAACTGTTATAATTAATGACGTAATTATTACGTGGACACCACGCGTGTGTCACGCAATTCTGCGAGCACATGGAATATTAATGTCTTGTGTGGAAGTTCTGAGTAGAGCGAGTTAAGAAGTGATATATAATTTTTAAAAGTTTATTTTTGATTTAAAAACGAGTTGAGTTCAATTATTCGAGTATAGTTCAATTTATTACATGGTCCTTCGAGCCGGATATGTCTACTGAAAAGAGTAAAAGAGCAATTCGACGAGGAAATCGAGCTTTCGTAACGAAAGTTATTCAGACGGCAAATGACGCCATTGACAAGTTTGGTGGAACTCAGGCGGAGAAAGATGCGTTAGAGGGTTGTAAAATCACGTTAATCGATAAGAAAGAATCCATAAGAAAGCTTGATGAAGCTATTCTGAATGAAATTGAAGATGAAGAGAAGATTATGAAAGATATATTTCAGGCTGGCGAAGTGGGTGAGTCGATCAATAAAATGCTTGTTAAAATTGACAATGTTTTGAAGACAGTTGAAGCGAGCAATGTGTCCTCGCCAGGGGGACTGGGTACAACCATGCCTAGCGTAAGTCAGCCAATGTACCCCTCATCAGCCAGAGCAAAATTACCGAAACTGTCCTTGAAGAAATTTGCTGGAAATCCTACTGATTGGCAATCATTTAACGATAGCTATAAAGCTGCTGTTCACACTAATGACAGTTTATCTAAAGTTGACAAATTCAACTACTTGAAAAGTCTGGTGGAGGGTCCGGCAGCTGCAGCAATCGCAGGGTTTTCGTTAACTGATGAAAACTATGAGACTGCTTTTAAACTTTTGGAAGAGAGATTTGCAAATCCACAAATTATAGTTTCCAGTCATGTTGAAGCCCTATTGAAGTTGGAACCTGTTTCTAATATACATGAAATTGTCAAGATTCGAAAGCTGTATGACAGTATTGAAACGCATATTCGTAGTCTAGCGAATTTGAACATAGAAAGTGAAACATATGGGACTCTTCTGATTCCAATGATTCTTGCTAAACTTCCAGAGGAAATGCAGTTGTTGATAAGTCGGAAGGTTGGCAAGGATGATTGGAAATTAGATGAGCTACTTAAGGAATTTAGAATTGAGTTAGAGGCTCGAGAAAGGTGCTTGTTGTTACAAAGCACTACAGAGAAAAAGGACGGTACCAGGAGAAAATATGAGCCTAGTACATCATCAGCACTTTTCACGGGAAGTGACAATCGTTCAATTCAGAAATGTACGTACTGTGGGGAACAACATTTATCATCACGGTGTAATATAATTACAGATATTTCAGCACGTAGAGCTATTCTCCGAAAAAAGGGACGGTGTTTTGCATGTTTGAAGTCTGGTCATATAGTCAGACATTGTCCTTCCAAGTTTAAATGCCCGAAATGTGGAAATAACCATCACATTTCTCTCTGTGAAGGTATAAAACCAAGGGAGGACCCTACCAAACCCAACCAGAATCAAAATCAACAACCACCCTTTCAGGCCAAGGGAAATGAAGCATCAACTAATGTTTGTGCAAACAGCAATGTCTCGGTGCTTTTGCAAACTGCAAAGGCTATGGTGGGAAACCCTAATGTCCCCCAACAGCAGAAATTGCAATCGAGAATTGTTTTCGATTCCTGCAGTCAGAGATCTTATATATCAAATCGGCTGAAGAATTCATTGGGTGTCCAACCTGTTAATAAACAATCCCTTTTGGTTAAAACTTTGGCAATGACTCCCCAAAATTGATGTTGTGTGATCTAGTCCAAGTCTCTATTACAGCCACTGATGGCTTGGAATTGTATGTCAATGCCTTTAGTGTCCCTGTAATATGTAGTCCGATTTCGAACCAAGCAGTAGAAGTAGCAGTGGAGAAATACCCGCATTTAAATGGTTTAGACTTAGCAGATAACAGTAGTCCTTCTATTGAAGTCGACATTGACATTCTAATTGGAGCTGACTTCTATTGGAACTTTGTGTCTAATGAGTCAAAAAGAGGTGAAGGACGTGGACCTGTTGCCCTGTCAACTAGGCTAGGGTGGGTTTTGTCTGGCCCCATTGATAACCTTAGTGAAGAATCTAGTTCCACAACCAACTTCGCTGCAACTCATGTATTACGGATTGATGCTACCCCAGTTCAGGATAACCAAAACCCGAACATGACTGAGCAACTTAAAAAATTTTGGGAGTTAGAGTCTATAGGCATTCGGGATGACGAAAGTTCAGTCTATGACAAGTTTGTTGAAGACGTTAGATTTAATGGGGAGAGGTATGAAGCAAAATTACCCTTTAAAGAGCACCATCCCACCATCCCTGATAACCATGCTGTTAGTGTAAAAAGATTAGGAAGATTAGTTCATCGACTCCAAGATCAACCTGCTCTTCTTACTGAATATGATAAGATAATTCAAGACCAAGTCCAGAAGGGAATTGTAGAACCTGTTGACCCACAAGTTATCCCAAAGGCTGGAAATGTACACTACCTACCCCACAGAGAAGTTGTGAGAGCTGACAAAGACACTACGAAAGTTAGAGTGGTTTACGACGCGTCAGCTAAGACAACAGGACCTAGTTTAAATGAATGTTTGTATACTGGACCTTCTCTAACCCCACTGATTTTCGACATCTTGCTGCGTTTCCGTGTCCACTCGGTTGCCATGACAGCTGATATAGAGAAAGCCTTTTTGAACGTTGCAGTCGCGGAGGAACATCGTGACTTTCTTAGATTTTTATGGTTAAATGACCCCTACAGCAGCAGCCCAAGCGTTATACACCTCAGATTCGCCAGAGTTGTGTTTGGAGTTACGTCAAGTCCGTTCATTTTAAACGCTACCATTCGTCATCATGTTAATCAATATCTGCTGAATGATCCAGAGTTTGTCTACGAGCTTTTGCGATCCCTCTACGTCGATGACTATGCATCTGGTTGCGAGAGTATACCTAGAGCGTTAGACCTAGCAAGAAAGATTAAATATCGACTTTCGACAGGAGGTTTCAACATGCGTAAATGGCAGACTAATTCACCAGAACTCAAGCAAGTGTTCCAAGTAGATCCCGATTTCGCTGAAGATATTCCTAGTCCTACTGCAGATCCTTTACCAACTATGAACGAAGAAGATTGTGGTTACACAAAATCAGCTCTTGGTGGCCAGAATGATGTGAACAGTAAAGTCCTTGGTCAAACGTGGAATGTCCTGAATGACGAGTTTGAAATTAATTTAGCCAATGTTGTAGCTGGTTATGATCCAAAGAGTTGTACAAAGCGAATTGTGTTGAGCATTACAGCAAAGTTTTATGACCCCCTGGGGCTGATATCACCTGTTATTCTTCAATTAAAGCTGTTGTTCCAAGAATTGTGCAAGAGTAACGTTGAGTGGGATGAACAATTGAGCGAACAGTTTTGTAAAGTATGGGAAACAATATTCTCCAACTTGAGGAACGCCAAAGTGATTTCTATTCCACGCTGTTACTTTCAAGAAACACGAACAGGGTTAATCGAGTTGCATGCATTTTCCGATGCAAGCGAGTCGTCGTATGGTGCTTGCGTGTATATCTTATACGAGCATGAAGCAGGAGTTAAATGCAATTTAGTCGCCTCTAAAACAAGAGTAGCACCCATGAGTGAACAGTCGATACCACGTCTTGAATTGCTTGGATGTTTAATCTCGGCACGATTAGTTGATAACATTCGTAAGGCATTACAAGACGTCTTAAAGATCCATGCTATTTTCTTCTGGTCCGATTCAACGGTTGCACTAAGCTGGATAAGGAGTGTGTGTAAAGAGTACAAACAGTTTGTAGAAAATAGAGTTCAGGAAATTCGAAGATTGACAGATCCAAAGGATTGGAGATATTGCCCAACAAAAGACAATCCAGCAGATATTGCCTCAAGGGGAGAATCAGTATCGAAGCTCGCGGCGGATGATAAGTGGTGGTATGGTCCTACCTTTTTACTAAATCCCAAGGATTCGTGGCCTGTACAGCCGTCGCACGGGGAAGAAAGCAAGAATACGTGGCAAGAGTTGAAGACATCCAAACAGACTGTGATGGCGGCGGTCGTTGATACTGATGTACAACCAGAGCACAGTATAGAGAACTTGCTAAAGCCTTCGAAGTATAGTAAGTTAGAAACTTTACTTCGTGTAACAGCCTATGTGCAGAGATTCGTTGACAATGTAAAACGAAGTTTGAAAGGTGAGGAAATTTTGAAGGGTCTTCTAACTGCTGAAGAACTAGAGGTGGCCGAGAAATCCTGGATTAAGCATGTGCAAGCTTCCTTAACAAAGCTGCCAAAATATAATAAAATGAAACGATCTTTAAGCTTATTTGTGGACGATGAGCAACTTATCCGTTGTCATGGTCGAATCGAAAAGTCAAATCTACCCAACGAAACGAAGTTTCCTATGTTATTACCCAGCGATCATGATTTTACTAATCTCGTAGTTCTGCATTGTCACACTGAAGTTATGCATAATGGCGTTCGGGAAACTGTAACTCAAGTTAGATCGAGATATTGGATCGTAAGAGGGCGACAAGTAGTGAAGAAGATTATCGCTCGATGTTTAACATGTAAACGATTAGAGGGCAAATCTTACGGAGTGCCGCCAGCACCTCCCTTGCCAGAATACCGTTTAGATAACGACGTTGCCTTTTCAAGAGTAGGAGTTGACTATGCTGGCCCATTATTCGTGAAGAACATATATTCTAAGGACAGTAAAATGTATAAAGCGTACATTGTACTCTACACATGTGCGTCGAGTCGCGCAGTTCATTTAGATCTCGCCGTTGATGCAACTAGTGAAACATTTATACGTAGTTTCAAGAGGTTTATGAGTCGCAGAGGAATACCAGGAACAATGATTTCAGACAATGGCAAGACATTTAAGTCGAAAGAATTGAAAGAATTTTGTACATCGAAAAGAATCAAGTGGGTACATATTGTTGCACGTTCCCCATGGTGGGGAGGCTTCTATGAACGTTTAGTTCGGTCAGTTAAAAGATGTTTAAAGAAAGTTCTACGAACTGCCCGATTGACTTACGAAGAATTGCTCACGTTGTTGATTCAAATAGAAGGCGTGTTGAATTCTCGTCCTCTCACTTACTTGTATGAAGACAACGATGAACCGTTAACCCCTTCGCACCTTGTACTAGGAAGAAGAGTACTTACTCCAGCGAAGAGCGTAAGTTCAGGTATATCAGACGAAGTTGACACCGCAGAAAGAGCAACACGACGCGAAAGACATTTAAAAACTGTTTTAACGCACTTCTGGAAAAGGTGGAAACAAGAATACTTAACTCAATTGCGTGAATATCATCGTCCTCGCGAAGCGAAGGGTCCAAGTGTTAACAAAGGTGATGTTGTTGTCATTGCAGAAGACAACGTGAAACGTTTAAACTGGAATATTGGACAGATCGAAAAGTTGTTAACGGGTCGCGATGGAAATACTCGAGCAGTCGTGGTGCGTACTATCGGTAAAGACGGAAAGGTGACTACGTTGGATCGGCCTATTCAAAAGTTGTATCCTTTAGAACTTAAATTGGAACAGGAGCATCCTGAAAACTTTCCAATTACGTTTGTTAAGCATGGACTTAAGGAAAACTGATTAGATTTAATTACTTATTTATATCGTTGAATGGTTCTCACCAGTCAAGGTGGGGAGTATGTTATAATTAATGACGTAATTATTACGTGGACACCACGCGTGTGTCACGCAATTCTGCGAGCACATGGAATATTAATGTCTTGTGTGGAAGTTCTGAGTAGAGCGAGTTAAGAAGTGATATATAATTTTTAAAAGTTTATTTTTGATTTAAAAACGAGTTGAGTTCAATTATTCGAGTATAGTTCAATTTATTACAATAACCCCCACCCCAACCCCCACCCTAACCTCTAATCCATAACCCCCCTAACCGCTAATCCTAATCTAATCTAATCTAATCTTAGTCTAACCCTAATCCAATCCATATCTGGCGTCCTTTCTTCTTTCTTTCTTCTGCGAACATCACGTCAGCGTTCGTCAGCATCAATCTGGCCACAGAATAGAAAATAGTCTATTATATATTCTATGATCTGGCGTCAATTCCTCAAATCAACGGTTTTTCTTGAAATTCACAAAATATGCTCAAAGTGTACGCTGCATATTCTGTAATTATTGCGTAAATATTTTACGCTTTTGCTTTTAAGCCGTGTCTTCCTGTTGCGATGACCCATGTGATAAAATCAAGAAATGTTTGCTATTTCGCTGTCGTCATGCAGTCGTTATAATGCAAACTTTAAATTGGACCAATCAGTGTCCGCTATTCATAACAGTCCGCCATATTCAGTTGAGATCAGTGAGGATGACCACCCACCGAACCACTCACGGTAACCCCACGCCCGCGCTCATTGATGAACTTTAGATGAAATCTCAAATGACCTCCAGTGGAACGTCCATATTGGTGAAATAATTAGAAAAACTAATAAGCGTATGTGCTTCCTAATTTTACTAAAACGTTCTGGAGTGCCAACTGCGGTTAGACCTCTGTTGGAATACTGCTCGCAGGTTTTCCACCATTCCCCCCCCCCGAAATATTTGTGTGATGACTTGGAAAACGTCCAAAAGAGAGCGCTGGCTATCATTTCCCCGAACCAGTCAAATGAACATAACCTGCAGAAGTTTAACTAACTACTTAAAAAAAATAGACGTATAAATTTATGCGACAAGTTATTCTCGTCCATCAAGAGTTCGGAATCACATAAGTTACACAATCTTCTACCTCCTTTGCAAGAGGAAAACTATGACATTAGGAAGAAGCGAGTCTTCAATATTGCAATGATACGCACTGAACGCTTTAAGCGGACTTTTATTCCTTCGATGTGCAAGTCTTAATACAATTTGATCTTTGTAGTTAAAAATTTTCTTGAACTGTCTTATATCTAAACTTAGCATTTAATGTAATTTTAAGTTCGTGTTATAATAGCTTGTAAATAGATTACGCAATTCAGCTTTTATGAGCTGCAATGTAAACTTTTTAATTAAACTATCTATCTATCTATCTATCTATCTATCTATCTATCTATCTATCTATCTATCTATCTATCTATCTATCTATCTATCTATCTATCTATCTATCTATCTATCAACATCATCCTCAAAACTCTTAAAAGAACTTGGCTGGATGAATATTCAGGAAATGAGGTATAAACAAAAGGCTATGATGATGTATAGAATAGTAAATGGTAATGCACCATCTTATCTAATAGACATATTTCAACATTGTCATGCTTTGGATATATATAATCTCAGAAGGTCTAAAATAACCTTCGAACTTCCAAAAAATCGAACACTGTATTACAATTCAAGTTTTGCCTTCACTGGTGCTAAATTATGGAATTCTCTTCCGGATGAGATAAAAGACGCACCATCACTTAAAATATTTGTAAAAATGTTAGACTCGACTATATTCTGTGCCAACTATCTATCTATCTATCTTTAGACTTGGCTGATGCTTTCGTTTTCCCGGGTGTAAATAGCCGGGGGGGGGGATTAGTACCCTCGCAACGGCGCCGTTGGCTCGGGGACAACGTCACAATAGCGTCGCGTTACCATTAGGTTGCGTTACATGGTTACGTCATCTGTCACAGAACTCAATAGGGAGCTTAAGATACCCCAAATCTACGATGCGGACGCAACGAAAAACTGCCGCTATTATCACAGTTTTGCCTCACATGTAAAAACTTATTGACTTTATTGATTTTATTAAAAACGGTACTATTTCGCCAGATTAATGAATTATTTACAAAAATATTAATTAGAAATAAAGAAGAAGGAAAAAAGAGAAGGTGATCTTCAAATATATAGCTATAGACCGTGTGCTAGCATTATATCAATATATTATATAAATTATCAATAGTTTTAGAATTAATTCAATGGCTGATATAAATTTTCAGTGTTAGTGTACTCGCTTCATTTTGGTTTTAAAGCTAGAGATACCTTTCGATGATTTCATTGCATTGATGATTTCAGTATGAATGGCTGTTGGCAAAAAAAGCCAGGGACGCGGGAAAAACAAAGTAAAACTAGTCTCCAAATATTATTAGCGACTGTTTTTTAGTCGCGTTCATTTGGTGCATCTTAAGCTCGCTAATGACGTAACTCAAGACCGAAGCAGTCATTAAGCTGAGCTCAGCATTTTCATTACAAAAGACGACGCTTGTTATACATGTTTATAGGTTCGTTTGAGAATAATCATTTCGCTGTGAAAGTCATAGGATGGAGTGTCTGCATGGAAAAGCCGCATCTTACAATTTATTGGAAGGAATATATACAGGAAGTTCAGAGACTTCGTGTGGAATCTTGGAATGGTTGTCATATCGGTCATCCTAGTCAAGGGCAACATGACTACCTCGTTCATGAACGAAAACGAACGATGGTAAATGTATGGTTTACAAGCGATTAAACAAGCGAATGCTAAGCGTATGGTTTGGAGTGAATTCGCTGAGGCAATGAAGGTACTAAACTGAGGGTTGACAGCGATGCACTTGAACATTTACAGCAGCTGGAAAAAGATCTACGTGTGCCGATTCACTGATGGAACTACATCAAAACACTGAGGACCACAAACTACAATGTATGCTGAACTATTTGTTTCATTGGAGATTAGAAGTCCGGCTCGAGTCAGCAGCTGAAACGTTTTTTCTCTTGGATTCAATGATTCAATCTAAGATTCAATGATTCAATCGTAGAGTCAATGATTCAATCTTAGGATTCAATCTAAGATTCAATGATTCAATCTTAGGATTCAATTATTCAATATTAGGATTCAATGATTCAATCTTAGGATTGAATTGTTCAAACTAGGATTAAATTATTTAATCTAGGATTCAATGATTCCATTTTATGATTCCATGATTCAATCCAGGATTTAATGATTCGATCTTAGGATTCAATGATTCAATTTTAGGATTCAATGATTTAATCTACGATTCAATGATTCAATCTTAGGATTCAATGTTCCAATCGTAGGATTTAATGATCCAATCTTAGGATTCAATGATTCAATCTTGGGATTCAATGATTCAATCTATATTCGCAAAAAGTATTTAAAGTCATGTTTCTCAAGTAAATGAACCATTTAGGCTCCAACTTTAGAATATAGATGACGTAATTTGATGTGTACAGACCATTTGTAGAGCTCCTGTCTATTTCTCATCCAACTCAACAACATGCTCTTCTTAATTCTGCATCGGCTGAGCGAATTCGATGCTTGTGTCATTGTATAGAAAATTTAACATACTCTAAACGAAGGACATCTCAAACCTTTTAAACAAGATATAGCTGATTTAGCGCACAGAAGTAGAAGTTTTAGAACGAAAAAGTAAATTCTTGTTCAGCGAGGGAGGATTGGTACTTGGACCACTTTTAAAAGGGCTTGCAGAATTAGTATAAATTAATCAGCATTAAGATCATCTCCACATTCCAATCATGGATAGCGACAAGCGATCATCTCCTGAACAGTGGAGACTTGAAGACATTCTTAAATACCTTGACGTTCATGATGAACACGAAGTCGAAGAAATCTTTCATTCTATTTTAACGTCTACGGGGATTTTGACTTGGAATGGAAAAGGAGAAATCGTTTACAGAGGACATAATATACGAGGAACTGACATTGTAGACCTTCTGAAATATTGTGTGACGCCTTATCATCCAGATATTCCCGAATCAACTGGATTGAGCATTTTTATCAAAGGTCTTGCAGAATTGGAAATTGATAAAAGCTGTCCACATTGTCGCCGAGATGAAGTTATGGATGTCAGAACGGATGAAAGACAGTCTTTTGACCATAAAATAGGCGAACAAAGTGACATTTGATCAGTTGACTGTGCACTAAACTACTGTTAAACTGAACACATCAATAGGGCAGAGAGGTACACTTTTTGTAGACACGAAATTATTCAAAGATCATTACTTGAGACAGAAACGTGGTGGAAATGTCGTTGGGTATCGTAGTGCACGTACGCAGAGAGGATATGGGATCGGGGTATTTTCAAGAGCCTTGCGATATATACTATCGCTCTATTCAAAGAAGGTGCTAAGGTTATTGACAAAAGAGCATTACAAGCTGGAACAGAAGTTGGTCAAGATGTACTCCAAGGACAAAACGTAATAGAATCTGTAAAGACTCACGGAAGAGAGGTTGTTAAAGACTTTGCCGAACAAGGAGCAAAGGCCCTATCACATTAGGCAGGGCGCAGAAGCAAGAGAAGGCAAGGCCAACGTAGTAATTTATCAACTACAAAAAGGCTAAAACTGTGTTCTCATATAGCAGTCCCAAGACGTACCAAATGGATTACGGAAGATGAAAGCAGCCACGACAATGAATTCGGATAGCGAAACTTCTCAAACAAGTGACAATATATGTATTAGATTATACGTATTACATTTCTTTTGTATTTTCCTTAATTACCTCAACCTTTGTGTTTTACGTATGGGGATTACCTGACAGCGCTGCCATCAGAATATTTATATTTCTAACGGAGTTGTTTCTAGCAATAAAAACTATATATACTAACCTGGTAAAACCGTCGTTTTAATCCTGTTTCATTTAAAGTTACATAAGCAGTGTGCTATATCTTTGAGAAACTTTATATTATTTGCTATAGTAAAGCGTCGCATTTGCTATTGTGTTTTAAATCTAAGTTTTTGTGCAAGTGTATGTCCGTGACTTGGTAACGTTACTCTATTGTGATGTAAATCGGTAACGCAACGGGTATTACTACTTCTGTTAATTTAGGTTTCTCCTTTAGACTGACACTGAAGCAATACGGTCCGGGACGGTCGTTACTGGATCTCTAGGAAGAACGGTTTAGAACTGATAGAGCTGTTCAGTATAAATAAAGTTAGTTGTGATATACTACACAGGTCTAACCAAAATCCTATATTGTCATTTTAATTTTTAGTCCAATGTGAAAATCCGCTGGACCTTTTGTTCGTTGTCGATGCATCAAGTTGGCAAAGTGCAGGCGACTTCACTCACGTTACTGATTATATGTCTGACCTCATAGACTGGCTAAAGATATCTGATCTTGCTGTTAAAGCTGGAGTGATAGCGTTTAGTTATAAAGGCGACACAAGAGTGATATTTTTACCTGACGCGTATTCTGATGCCAGTCAGCTAAAAAACGCGATCGGTAACTTGAAGAAGAATGGTCCAAAAATATTTTATGGTCATGAAGGGTACACCGCGAAGGCCTTGAAACTGGCGAATGACGAGGTAGGCTTACTTGGTAGAGATTTTAATGTATATACAGCAATTTTCATACATGTGAGAGCAATTTTCATTATTTTCATATTTTGTCCAGGTTTTCACGACAGCAGACCAACATCCCAACGCAGCAAAAGCAATTGTTCTTCTAACTCCACAAGTTCCTTTAGACAGCAAGTCGGACGCAATTGAAGAAGCTAAAGAGCTCAGAGCCAAAGGAGTTAAGATTGTTTCTATCGATTTGGTGAATGTCTTTAAAGCTTTTTTTAAGGATCAATCTGTGTATAAGGAGCTAACCAAGATATCCAGTCCACTTAAGCCTATTGCCTCAGCTTATGATAAATTGGATGAGCATGTTCGAGAGGTCACTAACCTGTTGTGTTCGTGTAAGTTCACTTTTAACGTGGTGGTGACAGAAAGTGATGTTGATGTTGATGGCTGTGGTGATGATGGTGGTGATGATGATGGTGATGATGACAGTGTATGACATTGGTACTGGTGATGATGGTGGTGATGATGACAGTGTATGACATTGGTACTGGTGATGATGGTGGTGATGATGATGGTTGTGATTGTGGTGATATTCGTGAGTTCATTCAATTATTAAAAGGCAAATTATATTTTGAATTTCTCCAGTCACGAAGGACCCTTGTGAAGATATGGATTGTGGAAAGAGAAAGATCTGTTCTTATGATCGCGATACAACTTCATGTATATGTAACAAAACGAATTGTGAAGGTAATAATTTTAATCGCTTCTAGTTTTAGGCTGGCAGCTGTTTTATGACATGCAGTTGGTGTGTTTCCGTGAGTGTTACAACGCAGCTGACGATGGTGGTGAACTTTAGAAATGTTGATATTTATAGAAGAAAGCAAACTAAACTATATCTCTAACGTTTACCTATTTTCCTCTGAATACAACATCATCACATAATTTTATAATGAGAAGAACTAACGCTATTTTTTCACTCTGATAACTGATGTGTTTAGTGAAACATTGAAACCCACCATGAAAAAGTTTGAGTAATTTGTAAAATTGTTTCTTCATTTAGTTCAACCTTGTGATGAGACGCCGTGTAAAAACGATGGAGAATGTGAAAATGTGGATAAAGAAACGTTTAAATGTAACTGCACTGAAGCCTGGACAGGTGAAACCTGCGAAGAAAAAGGTGAATTTTTATATCAAATGTAAAGTCTAAAGACTAAAATGAGCTAATTTTATTTATATTAAATAGCTCCATCAGGTCATCCCTTATTAGTATAAATTAAACCTATACTAGTAGGCTATCGTGTATTGTGGTTCTGATTGACTATATAACGCACTTATATTGCCCCACTTCGACTACTGCTGCGAAGTTTGGGATACTATTGGTATCACACTCTCTGATCGCCTGCAAAAATTACAAAATAGGGCTGCTAGAGTAATTACGGGTCGTAAAAACGAACACGGCCAATCTGAACTTGCTTTAAATGAACTAAACTGGAAAACATTGAAAGAACGCAGAATTCAATTTGTAGCAAGTCTCATGTACAAAATAACCCACGATCTAGCGCCCAAACAACTAATTGATATGTTTCAAAAGACGCCTTCGTCTCAACATTATAACTTACGAGGTTATGCCACAAATCTCTACCTGCCCAAACCTAAGACCGAATATCTCAAAAAAGGTCTTAGTTATAGAGGAGCAAAATTGTGGAATGGCCTCCCAGATAGACTAAGAAATAAATGTTCTCTTAGTCAATTTAACTTAAGTGTGCGGCACCTGGCCAGTTAGATAATGAGTTTATGAAATTTTATTTATTTGACCATAGTAGAGTAATTATAATTGTATAATTGTTTTGTAATGTGTTAGTCTTGTATATATATTTATCCTAATTGAGTGTAACGTTTGTATTTTTAAACCTACGCCCCTCTTGGAAATCAGCTCTTGCTGTAGGGGTTAGCGTAGACAAATAAAGTTTTTACTTACTTACTTACTTACTTAGTAGGCTATTAGTATCGCCTACTAGTAGCAACAAGCGGCGAAGGGCGCGAGAGTCAATGGCCATTTTTAAGTATTAAAAGCTGCATTTAAAGGGCAAAATGGCCTAATTTTATCAAAATGGCCTAATTTTTGTTCTGGATTACACACTCTTGGAAACTGCTGACACATACGGTTTCACAAGTTTTCCTCAATTTTGCTCGTAGTTTTAAACATGAAAGTGACAGGCGATTTTTAAAATATATGCACAATGTTTGTTAATAATATTCCAAGCAGAATCATTGAAATTCAACAATAGTTTGTAGCTACTTACCCCTATTTTCTCAACCTCTTTAGTGTGTGCTTGTTTTAAGTATGAGTTCATGTATTTAGCTATCATATAGATAATGGAGCTATATCAATTATTATCTATCATATAGATAATGGAGGTAATTTAGCTATATCATATAGATAATGGAAATGGTTTGCCTCTTTATGTTCCAGATATTTTAAAGATTTCAACGACATTCGGATGCTTTTGTGTGCATTTTTACTTGGCTTTTTAAGGGACCGGTCATTAATTAGGAGGGGAGAGGGTCTGTGGAAATGAAAAATTAGATGCTAAATTTTGTTCGCCCCTTGAGGATAGCACAATTATACTCAACTCTACACACACACACACACACACACACACACACACACACACACACACACACACACACACACACACACACACACACACACACACACACACACATGCAAATAACAAAAGGCACATTCGTATAAATTTAAAGTTCCTATTAAGTGAAGCCACATTTAATCATACCACCCTATCATAGTTGCCAACTTTGGGAAAAAAAACATCCGTGAGATTTTGCCTTGGGCAACCCAAGAGGCGCAACCATAGTTGACGCTGAGCTGAAAAATTTTGAAAATATGGAGTCCCTAGATCGTTGGAAATGGCATATTCAGAGTCTTCTATACCTTATACACACAAGTTTTGGTGGCTTTTATTTAGATATACAAAACCATATTGTTGAATACCCACAAGCACGAGGTTGCATGAAATGATGTTTTGATTATCTAATTTCTTCAGAAGAAAAAGGTTTTATGTAATTTGACGTAAATGAAGTCACTCTTAATAGTTAATTTAAAATGTGCAACAAAGGCAACATATTTAAGAACCAGTTGGGTTATTTTCGAAATCGGCTGTGAGAAATTACCAAGCTGTGAGCTCATCGCGAGGTTTTAGTAGAATATCTGATGCTGATGGTGAATTCGTGAGAGTTGGCAATTATGCCCTGTATACATGTACCATAATTTATACAGTATATTCTTTACCATTTGTTGAGTCCACAGCTGTTTAAATGTATGTTTATGTTGAAATCAGTTTAGTAAATGGTGTTGTGTTGGAGTTTACTACAATACTACTGCTCTCTATTTTTTATCTGTTGGTTTTATGGTAGGGCGGAGCAATGCGGGGCAGGTATTTATATTGCACAAAAATTTTTCCCCCCTCTTTTTTCATGCACAAAAATATCTAACTCCCCCTCATTTCCCACCAGCCCCCCCCCCTGTAATTAATGACTGGTCCCTAACGTAAATTTTATTACTCGCTGGGGCCCTGTGAACTGGTGAGTATGGATCGTGGATGTCTGATCGAAGATCGATAGCCACAAAATAGAATATTAATGAGCTGCCAATTTTTACCCAAATTATCCATGAGGCTCCTGCCAATGTTTACCCAAATTACCATAAATACCTTAAGTTTTGAGAAAAATTCAAGAATTTTACTAAAAAAGTCAAAGCTGCTGTTTATTTTAACCAGTATGAATATGTTTACGTTCTTCTAAAACTGCTTTCTTACGTTTTATACCTCTGAGCTTATTACGAATAAATTGGAAAATTAAACAAGACTTACCTGTAAGTTGAAGTTTGATTGGAATTCTATCACATGGCACATAGAGTCAGGAGATTACATGAGATAGCACGGCGCATGCGCGGGTTCATTCTTTAAAGCATTTTGCTGGGTTCATCAGTACAATTACACACAGTGATATTGATATTTTCAATACACCCAGTGATAAACCCAAAGTAGGGACATGGGCAATATAATATGTACATATATTATACATCTGATGATGCAGGGTGGGCATGTAATCTCCTGACTCTATGTGCCATGTGATAGAATTCCAATCAAACTTCAACTTACAGGTAAGTCTCGTTTAATTTTAATCACATGGCACCGAGTCAGGAGATCCCATGAGACTTTAAAGCCCTGAGTTACCCAGCAATGACATATACCAAATTTAGGGATGAGACATGGTGAACAAAACCATATTATTATCAACTCAACATGTTGTAAGTACTGCCTCAGTCATAGTTATATCAGAGACTACAGGCTTATTATAGTACTTTTGAAATGTACTGTCTGAGCTCCAACCTGCTGATTTTATCAATATGTGCAATGGTACACTTTGGTAAGCTTTCGATGTGGCAGCCGCTCGAGTACTGTGTGCCGAGTATACTGTGGTGTCAATCCCAGCATTATCAAGGACAATTTTAACCCATCTTGATATTGTGTCTCTTGACACAGGTTGATATGGTTTTTGATAGCTTACAAAAAGTTGCTTATTATCCCCACGTACACTTTTGGTTCTTTTTAGGTACTCTCTTAAAACTAAGATAGGACAAATATTTTTGTCAGGTGTGTACTGCTCAATCTTGAGGATCGTAGTCCGTGATCCTGGCTTACTAGTCTTCATATGCTCCAGAACTTGAAACTCGCATGACGTCTCGCTTAAGGTCATCTCACTGAGACTAAGACAGTGTATTGTTTGACCTCGCTGCCCAATTACCAGTAACAATAACATAACTAACTTCAACGTCAAATTTTTTAGTGTCCGTTCTTCATTGGGTGTAAAAGTTCCCAGATACTTTAAAACCACAGAGACATCCCATATGGAATTGTACTTAGGTTTTGGTTTCCGCAGTTCAAATATACCCTTCATAAACCTGACAACTATATGATGGGATCCAAAACCCTGACCATCTGGCAAACAAATTATGGTTGACAATGCTGAACGTGCAGTGTTTATAGTAGAGTAACTCAGTCCCTGTTGAAACAACATCCTCAAAAACGACAGAGCTTGGTTCATTGTTGGTGAATGACAAGCAATCGTCCTTTGACGACAACAGTCCAACCACTTTTGGATGTAGGTGGAATATTGTTTCTTGGTACCTGTTCTCCAAGATGACATAATGATATCTGTAACTTCTTCTGAAAGGTCATCTGCCGCGAAGCGATTCCGGAGACAGGACAAACCATCAGGCGAAGGGTTTTGGCTAGTGGATGTGGTATCAACTGAACTGGGTGCTGCAGGAGGTTTGTTGATGGTGCCAGGATCCATGGTTGATCGAACAGTAGCTGTAATAGTTGTGCAAACCAGGCCTGGGTCGGCCGGAAGGGAGCGATTAGTACTCCTGAGGCTTGGTCTTGTAGTATACTTCTTTTGCAAGCAACGAGGAACTAAACTAAATGGTGGAAAGGCATAAAACATCTTAGTATCCCAGTTTAATGTAAAAGCATCAACTGCAATACACCCAGGATCTGGTC